TAGTTGGCTTCTGGTTCATTTTCTGATAATGTTTCTCATGTTATCCTACTGTAGGTCCAGTCGACTTTGCCTTGCAAGGTTCTTGCATTCAGCATATTCACGTGTGCTGGAGTCATCTTTGGTTTGTTGACCGCCATTGCCATCGATCGATACATCAATATCATCAACCCTTTGAGGGCAATTGTCATGGAGGAACGCAGTCTYACAGCATTAGCTGTCATTTGGATTGTTGCTATAACAACTTCGACTCCATTCCTCTTTAGCGTAACCATGCGTACTGTATCCATGGAATTTGTATCGTCAGACGTACATGGAGTAATCACTGTGAAGATGTCGATACATCATGGAAGTGACACTATAAGTTATCGCACAACAAATATCACCAATAAAATACAGGCAAAACTGTTAAGAAAGACCGTTGATTTGGGAAACGGAAGTGGCGTAATGAGTTTAAACTCGACTGGCAGTGCTAAGTGCATGTTACCGATGCAGGTTTGTGATATACCAGACAACATAAAAGGACAAGCATCATGTGTAGTGTTCTTCGTGTTGTCGTTCGTGGTTCCTTTGCTGGTGATCTCATTTGCGTACATTAAGATCGTCCAACGACTTTGGCTGAGGTGCCAAGCCACTGATGATCAAGGCACGGCTGCTAAGGCTACTCTTCGTGCAGTGCGTATGCTTGTGTTGGTAGTTTTAGCGTTTTTATTGACAGACGGACCATGGACTGTAGGTAATGATTATATGACTAYATTGAAAAATTTATTGTAATTCCTTCTGTCAATTAAACCTGAGCTAACAATATTAATCACGGTGTATGTCTCACCACGTGACTGCGGGATAATCCGATGCAACTTCTCTTTAATTGCATGTTTATATTTGACTCCATGGTACTCAAATCTGGACAAACCCACTTTGCAAACAGTAATGCAGTACCAATTGAAACCTGCTTTTTGATTGCTCCTTAAGTACAGCACCACTATTGTTAGGTTAGGTTTTGTTATATTGTTGGAAGACTTATCTATTGTTTGTCAATTGTTTTCTCAACCTATCATGAGACCCGTTCCGAGCGGTGCTACCTGGCTCCTTTGTAAACCGATATAGCTTACATGTCCTGTTGATCACATCACTAGACATCATATATCACATGATTCCAGATAAAATTCAGTATTTATAATCCTCCTGACTCTATGTCAACACCAACTCTGCCCTTATGCAATGTCAAGGTTCCTTTAACTAAACCACAGATTGTAATGTTACACTAAGTATCATGTCACCGTATTAAGAAATAGTCAATTTTTGGCTAAATGTCAATCAAACCTGGTGAAAACTATAGCCACGTGCCCTATTGTTTACGGRATGAGACGTCATTTATCATGTTGAATGTCATATTATGAAACCCGAGTAAGCGCTTTAAGAGCGTATAATTATATGATAGTAATACAATAATGATACTATTAATTGCTACAAATCATTTTGTTTCAATAGGTTGTCTGGTATATTCCTTTCAACCTCGTGGCTTGATGTCGCTACAAAGTCATTTCACTGCTGTTGCCATAGTAACCACACTGTTTTACGCAAGCGCAGTGATCACTCCCACGATTCACGCCATCCACAGCTCGACCGTACAGAAAGAAATCGTAGCCATTGTATGCTGTAGATTTAGAGACAAGTCATTTTCTTCATCRACATCTTCTTTACTGTCTACTAAAAGGTACAGCTCGATTCACTTCGCTAAAAAACATGACAAATTGACACAAGGTTCAGAGAACGCTTGACTTTTTTATAGTCTCACTTTCGAAAACTTGTTACACACYGTAATACATCGTGAAACGATCATATTTAGCGTACTATAGTAGGAATCCAAATTAGAAGTATTCATAAAATATAGTCGAAATAGCTACTGATTAAACTTGTCACCTTTTGTTAATAAAAAAAGTTTCGTCAACAAAATGTGTTTGTGCCATTCTCAAGGGTGTTAAGGCCTGGGATTTTAGGCAATATCAAAAAATATTAAAAACGTTATATTTTCACTAATATTTACCGTAG